GTGAGTCAGACACCAACCCCCCCCGCCCCCGAGCCGTCCGGAGGGGACTTCCGAAGGGAAGCGGCTGGGCCATGACACATCCGCAGCCGGAGGATGCCGCAGGGAGCCGGGGGCATCTCCAGCTCCAGGGAAGTCCCCCAGTGCGGGGCCAGCCCTGGCTCCAGCTTGGTGACAAGCAGGGCAGAGTCAGGAGAGAAAATGCTTTTATCCATGGGAATGGGGAGCTGGGGGTGGCACGTCACATCCTGTGTGTCCCTCTGCCCCAGGGATGCTGCGACTCATCCCATGGCTGCATCGTCAGGTCTGACCTAACCTCACTGGTTGGGACCTGTGGGTACAGAGACAGGCACCATGGGACACCCCCAGCTGCTCTGCACCCATCCACCACACATGGAGTGCTCCCCCCTAACATGGAGGGTCCTGGCTGCCGGGACAGAGTGGCAGCTTCTTTATGTGACTTGTGCAGTGTCACCCAGGAACTCAAAACTTTTCCCAGGGCTGCATCTGCTAAGCCCCATTTGCCGTCCCACAGTCGGAGGGGGGAAGCAGGGTGTCCCAGGGGAGGGCATCCCCTGACTCACCCCCAAGACAGCCCAGTCTGTGAGAAGGCTGAGCCCAGGGTCCCGGGGACCGTAAACAGCCCACAGCATTTAACTGGAGATGGTCCATCACGCCAGCTGTGTGTCACCACACTGTCACTGCCTGAGTCATGAGCCATGCTGGGGCCAGTGGGGCTGCACAGGGGGGACATGGGGAGAGCCAGAGGGATGGGGACAGATCCCAGGCCTGGAGACAGCTGCTCTTCTCACATGCAGAGGGCTTAAGTGGGACCCTCTTGTCCCTCTGTCTGACCCCGCAGACCTGGACAGGGGCTTGAGGACAGAACAAAACTTTTGAAACAAGAGGTAAATCAACCAGAAGGATGGTTTCCACACATATACACCATGCAGAGCTCAGCACCCAGCAGTGAGCTTTGCTCCAGGCTCCCCCCGCTTTGTGCCCCACGGGACCCCAGTGGGCTGAGACCTTTCCCCGAGGACGTGGGATTGGGATGCCGGAGTGAGCCTGGGGCTGGCAGCCTGTTATCACGGGAGACAGGAGGCAGCCCTGGGCTGCTCTCAAGTGGTCCTGGCTGATTAGTGACTTCAAGTGCCTGTGGAGTTATTCTAAGTCAAGTAGGCACGAAGGGAGCTGACCTAGGACCAGTGAAACCTACACTGGGCTTTGCTGGGGCATCCCCCATCACCTCTGCTCCTCGCCAAGCCCTCCAAGGTGTGGAGGTGTCCCCCCTCCATCCACTCTCTCTGTCCCTTATTCCTCCTGCAAAAGGCTGTTTGCTCCAGCCCAAAGCAAACCTGATTTTATCTCCCAACTCCAGTTCCCTTGGCTGTGGGCCACGGTCGATGCCTCCCACGCAGAATTTGTGAAGCCCATTCGTGGACCCGCGCACAGAGCGGGCTGTGTACGCTGCCACATGACATCATGTTTACAGCCTGCGGGGGCCCAAGGACACCCCCTCCCAGCAGCATCTCTTCCAGCCCAAGCAATGTGTGTCCTTCCCATGGCTGGACAGGCAGACGTGTGGGGGGCTGGCAGGAGCAGTCTGGCCCCAGCACCATGTCTGCTCACAGAGGGGTGGTTTCAGTTTTGCTGCACTGCAAGCTGGTCCCCCCGGCCTCAGTTTCCCCTTTGGGCAGTGGAGAGCAGATCCTATACTAGCAGTGAGGGTGCGCTGCTGTTGCAGCACAAGGTCAGAGCCTCGAGTTGTTGCGCAAAGAGAAAGGCAAATTTTCTCCCCTTGGGACATGGATGTTTCCTTCTCTCCCAGGACAGAGCAGAGCCTTTTTTGCTGCTGAATAAAACTGAAGTTGCTGGGAAAGAATAACAATGTCCAGAGACACAGTGGTTCACTAAAGAGTGCTAGGGCCATCTTTTCTCCCATCTGTCCGTCCATCCATCCATCCATCCATCCATCCATCCATCCATCCATCCATCCATCCACACTTGCATGCAGCTTTCTATCTCACAGTCATCTCTCCATCCATCTACTGAGCTGCCTGTGCACTCACTCATCCATCCATCAACAAACACATGCATCACTCTTCCCACCCATCCCCACACCTACCTGCCCGTCCATCCAGCTAGCCACCTACCCATCTGTCAGTCCATCCTCCCATTAGCCCCTCCTTCCATCCATCACCCACCTGACGGTGCCTGAGTGATGCCCAGCCACTGAACAGCCTTCCTCAGGGGTACAGTGTGTGCCCGTGCCTGTGTGCACATGTGTGTGGGGGACACACTGGCCATGCAGAGCACAGCGAGCAGGGATGTCCCGGGCTGTGTCCAGCCACGGGGCAGGGGCTGGGAGTGCCGGCTGGGGGGAGGCGGGGGACCCGTCTAATTTAAGAACGGGCCCTGCGGTCGCTGTCAGCACCGGGTGGCTCTGATCTGGGGACAGGTCCTCGTCAGCTCTGCTCGCCACCCAGCAGCCCGACATGAAAGGGCTCTGCACCCCGATAAGGCCCCAGACGCTCGGCGCTGGAGGTAGGCAGTGCTGCAGCCAAGCCTGGGGGACCCCTGAGCAGTGAGCCCTGGTGTGGCTGTCCCCAAACCCAGTGTCACCCCAGCACCACGGGGCTTGTGTGTTTTCATCAGTCAGGGAGATCAGGTCTGGGGGCTGCCCTCTGCTTTGGGCACAAGTTCCCACCAGTGACATGACCTCAGGGAGGGCTCCGTCCCCAGCAACCCCCTGGCTGCCACCAGCCCCTCCACTGGCTGTTACCCCGCACTGGAGTCCCCTGGCCGTGAGCGGCTGCGGATGGAGACCATGTTGTTTTAATAAGATCATTCTCCTCCTGCCGTGAGGTCGCAACCCTGGGCTTATGACATCACAGCGCGCTGCCATGGAGATGCCGGGATGTCACAAACACAGTTCGATGACCTCACTGCAGGAGCAGGAGATGGGGCCAACCTGGGTTTGATCGCCAATGTCCTCGGGAATAAAGGAGGGGAGGGACGCTGGGAAAGTATGCGGCTGCTGAGCGCCGGGGTGTTTGGGTTGGAAATAGCCACGCTTTCCCCGCAGCGGGAAAGGCCCGTTCCTTCCTCCCCCCATCCACTCCCTCCCAGCGGCCAGAGTGCCCCCAGCCTTGCGGCTGCAGGGCAAGGGGGACTAGGGGAGCAGGGCACCCCCATCTCTGCCCTTGGGGCCATGCAGCGGGGAGCAAGAGCCCGAGCTCAGCGCAGCACCGGGGCACCAGCTTAGGGGCAGAGCAGGGTTGTGGGGGGTGCTGTGTCCCCAAGCAGGATGGGACACTCAGGGGTTGCTTTGCCCCAGGAGCAGGATGGGAACCTCTGGGGATACTGTTGCATGGGGCAGGGTGGGTTGGTGTCTGGGGGAGGTCTCCTCTTCCCCAGGGGAAGCCCAAAGCTGTGCTGCTACATGAGGACATGATTCGCCATCCACAGCACCCTGCAGCTGGACCCCAAAGCACCCCTTGGCTCTGCCTAGCCACCTAACAGCTGTGCCCCCTCCAGCCCATTATCAGCAGCGTCTCCTGGGGACCAGCCCCCACTGCCCCATCACCCTTCCACACCACAGCCTGCTTCCCCATCCTCTGCAATCAGACCTTGCCACTGGGGAAACCATGGCTGGGTGGGGGGACACCCGTCCCCCCCCATCTCTGCTGCAGGGGTGCCTGCTCTCCTGCTGCATCCCCCATCATTAATTTCCTTTAGTGGCCGAGCGGGGCCAGGGCTGCCCGGGGGTGGCCGAGGAACACGGCGCTTTCCCCTGATAGCAAAAATAAATACATTAAAATTCTTGCAGGAGGCAGAAGAATGCAGGACGGCAGGAAAAAATTGTTTTATAATTTGTAATAACACAAAAGTCGGGGGGGGGGGGG